ATCACATGTTGCTTCTGTCTATTAGCAGTAAGTAAAATTAAAGTAAAACCACATCTGTTATCTCAATTTCATCCAAAATAAACCAAATCAAGAATTTTGGCAGATAGGCCTGTCAAAGAGGGAATTGAATAGTGGCCCACCATTTAAATAAAGAAAGAAAGGAGTTCACGGATTTATGTACGATTAATTTGGAAAATAACAAATTAAAATCAATTACAATAATTAAGTAAATTAAACAATTAAGCTAGTTAAAACATTTAGGATAATTAAAAGGAAAAAAAGCTTTTATAATAAATTGGAAAAAATATATTTTGCAAAAAAGAAAAGTTAAATGACACAACGGAATGAGACACAATGAGCAATGAGACACAACGGAAATCTCGAAACAGAGTGACCCTAAACAAGATTCTTTCACAGCCCTAGAAATTTTTTGCCCAGAAATCAGACAAAAGGGTGTTTTTGTGGAGAAGGACAAAAGAGCCCACAGCAATTTAAAGAAGCTGAAAACATTTCCCACCGTGTAAAATTGAGGCGGCTTTTTGACCACTCCATGGAGTCTAGAGTACCGCTTTTTAGGATCCATGATCCATGGACTACTCCCATCACTGGTAGCTATGAAAGCTACAGGATATTTTCATCAGGAAAAAGGCCTTTTTATTGCTCTTTTGGTTAGAAAAGTGAAGAGTAACAATTATTTTATATTTGTAAACACTTCTATTAGATTTTGAAAAGCGTTCGCCAATGTAAAAAAGAAAAAAAAAAGTATTTTAGTTTTCAGAGGGCTCCAGCTTTGAATAAAACTTTAATAAAAGAAGGAAAAAGTTGGATCTGGGGGCCCTTGCCATCTCGGGGCCCCAAGCTACAGCTTATTTAGCTTATACGTAAATCCGGCCCTGAGCGTCACCCACGTCACACAACCACAAACCCGTTTATAGGGTGGGTCACATTCACACAATCACACACAAAGGAGAAAGGACATTGAACACAGAGAGAATGAAACACCCATGCCCTAAGCAGGATTCGAACCCGCGACCAGCGGCTCCGCAGTCAGGTACGCTAACCGCTCGGCCATCTGGTCGGCGGTTTGAGATATATTTATTGAAAAATTGCTAATATTTTCCCCGCTGCATTGTTTGAGTAAAACGAAAAAAGATGTATGCCTTTGGATTTTATTTGTTTTATATTGCTTGTAAATAAATTAGTTTAAATTAGTATATCACTATCAAAACTCTTAATAACGAAGTTTCAAATTTTTTTTTTTTTTTTTTTTGTTAATGAGCAGGAAAATCACAATAGGAAAAGATAGTTTATGGAAAAGCTGTGTTTTTATAGTCATTAAAAAGCAAAATAAAAATATTTCTCAAACCATAAAAGGAATTTGAAGCATTTCCGCAGCAGCCCATTGTGGGCTAAAGGTGTCAAGAAGGTTAATGCTTCACAATTTCGAGAATTGCGGCAATGTGTCCAACATTGCGCACTTTCCGCCTTTACTTCTCAGACAAACTGACACCCATCGATCTGAAGCTGAGAGGGGGGGGGAGGGCTTCAAGTCGCCAACGGGGATCGTCGTTTACAATGACGGCTCAGTGTCTTAACCATTTAACCATCGCAGCTCATAAATACAATTTATTAAGATCCATAGTCGATTGTTTTATTTAAAATCAAAACTATTCGAGAAAATGTTAACTTAGACAGTTCAAAATAAGTATTAAATCACTATTTATCACGATAAATTTATGAGCTATATTTTTTTTAAAAAACTCTTTACACTGGCCGCAGTTATAAGTAACAGTATTCAATTTTAACAATTACAAAATGTTTATGTGTTTGCTCAGTGCTGCTTCCTAATTTTATTTTATTTTTACTAAATCAATAACGATGGCAGAGGCTGAACTATATCACTTGAGTGGAATAAATCAATCGTCGTTTGCACCATTCCTATTGAACAATTTTTATTCTCATCCCAATAGAAATGTATTCCTATTGGTTGCTATCTGTAACTGAATAATCATTGATAGATTTCCAGTGGACAGGTAAGTGAAGAGACGTTAGCTCCGACATCTCTATTGTATACAAGGATTTTGTTCTTTTTAATGCTAAAATGCAGCTGATATGCGGGAATTGTACTGAAACATCTATTTACAAACACACTTGCTAACAATGTTTTATTTATTCTACGCATATATTTTGTTCATTATCTTTTTATTTTAAGTAATTTTATTTGTTTATGTTTTATTATATCTTAGAAATAATGATCCTAACTCAGCAAAACGGTTCCATGATATTTGCGAAGCCTATGACGTACTACGTTCTCCAAAATGGAAAGCTTTGTACGACCAGTTTGGAGAAGATGGAATAAAAAATGGTGTGCCTGTGCCACCGGGTCCAAATGAAGAAGAAGGTCCAATAGAAGTATACACTTTTCATGGAGATGAAATGAAAGTATGTACAGTTTCAACCATGCTCAGTATCGGTTTACTATACCTGAATTTTTAGGGGGATTGGGACACCAGCCTGAAATTAACCAATCTGAATAAAATAATCGAATAAATTGAATCCTTGAGGTGTCTAAAATGATATTTTGATGCTCGAAGTCATTATAAAAATATAATTACATACTAAATAATATGAATCTACAAAATACAGTACCGGGAAGCCAAGGTGGCACAGGCGTTAGAGCGTTCGCCTTCTAATGAGGTGACCCAGGTTCATATTCGATGAAAAGTAGTAAAAAATTTGAGGTCTACACCATAAAGAAGGTCTATACTACAACGACGGAAGAACGGCGGAAGATTTCTAACAGTTTCTTTAAAAGTAATGGCATTAATACGGCCGAAAAATAATGTTTCTGCTCATTTCAATATTCGTTTGTCATTTACCGATAAACTCAACGTACTTCAAAGTCGTACAAAAGATATTTCAAGGTTAGAGTGACTTATTTACACTTAACTAATTAAATCTTATCTTCGAAATTTATGGTGACATAGTCAGCCAAATTGCCTAATACCAGGAGAGGTACATATCCGACATTTTAAGGTTTTAGAATGTCACTAGGGTAGTAATGCAACAGTTGCTACCAAATATATATATATATATATATATATATTTTTTTTCA